ACTTATTGATCTTACAAATGTTCACACTGCTCTGTAGTGGCTTTGCTTCGTTAATCAATCACCCTTGTAACCGTTATTATATAAATTTCAACGGCGTTTGAAATCAGAAAGCAAAGAGAAGCAGCAACTACAGTTTATTAGAGGATAGCACAGATCACAATGCTATAAGCACATCAAGCGGATTTGAACTAAAATGGCGAATATGTGTATACAATCAAATACATAAGAGAATTTATAGTCAAATTGCATAAGGGCGTAGCAAGGCAAAGCAAAGGCTAATAGTAGGATTTGAAAATATAGATACATGAGGAGGAGAATGAATAATCGAGCAACAGTTATTAACATTTTAGCTCGAGTCTGTCATGTGATCTAGTGATCATAACAGTACAAAGAAATAGGCGAATTGTCACTATTCTAATAACGTTGTCTGTCAAATTAATAAAAGGTCTTAACCAAAATTAACGATAATGTAAATTGGTTGTAGGATAGTGGCTATAATTTAAATAATTTATTTAGATGACAAGATTTTTAAGAAATCACGTGACATCATTTGAAAAAGCAAACAGATTCATGGTACTGATTTAGAATGTTTGAATAAAACCAACTTAATCAAGCACGCGAAGATAAACAACCATAATTTGTAATTGTTAGTGTTTATTTCACAAAAATACATGTTATCGCCTTGATATAGTCTCTATCTTGTAACAACTAGGCTTCTTGTCGATGGGGTTTTTGAGAAAAATTAATCTCTAGGTAGGTTCATAATATGTGCAGACCAAAAATTTGAATTAACTGACGAGACATTCATAAAAGTTATGAATGAACCCTTCAACTAGATAAGATATATTAAGTTTATCGAATCACTTAATAAAACAAAGCAGATGAATCAATATGTCAGAGTAAAAACTTTATGTGATTGACTAGACTATTTCCATTTATGGGAACGGTCACAATTATAATTTTTAACCTAGTAATGTATTTTTTTGTAGCTAAGATTAAGTAAGTAATTTACTTTTCTAGGGATCATCTTCATAACTGAGTAACGTGTTTTTATTACTATCTAATGCAGTGGCAGGGGAGAGTAATATATATATATATATATATATAGCTATGTTGTAGCTAAGTTAATATACAGTAAATCTTTTCAAATATACCTTTGAATGACGTAGGTATTACTGAATGGTTATGCCTAAAATATATGCACATGCTTACGTAATGAACAAGCTAAATCGTCATATACTAAGGGGAAGATGAGCTAACAGATGGAGCAACGAACTAACATTTTGCACAAACATAAAACTGTTACGGTGGAACTCACGCGGTTCATCTCTTCTTGCATAAGTGTATTTATTTTACGCCTATTTCAAGGAAGTATACACAGTTCCTTCACTCAAGTCTTATTTACATTTGTCAAAAAGGAGGAAAACTAGTTGTTTTCCTCTCCATATAGAAGGATAGTAGGACAGAAAGTGAATTGTTTAAGTAGGTTTGATAGTTAGGCAAAAGGATGGCAAATTCATTATATCTAAATCAATAATAACTTTTTATAGTTTGTAGTAAGTTTCGGAAAATTGGATATCAAAATATTTGTATGATAATAACTCTAGTCGAAAATTCTACACACAGTGTCTTTGTTAATGAGATGTACAGCAGTTAAAACTACTTTTATTTGAACTGAAACCTGAGTTTACCAAAGTTTTTTATTATTAGAACTGAAAATTATTTGCTTAAACCCTGTTTTCTAGGTATAATATTTCTAAATGTTATAGGTGAAAGACGGTTCCAGTCACAGGTTGATGTGGGCGAAGCAATCAAAACCATCTGTCGTGCACTTTGGGTTAACTTTTTCCAATGGAAGAAACTGCTTGTGACCTTATTTTCAAATGTCGTCTACAATGCTAGTCAAGATATGATATCTATTCATCCGTTTATTCCTTTGTTCATAGCTATTTAAATGCGTTATTATAATTAATCAAGTAACACGGCATTTGTTAAGCTAATTAACAACTTTACATCTCATCATCCTCAAGATAATAAAAAGTCATTCCAAAAGTTATAGTTTAAAGTCTTTAGGGGGGAAAATTTGCAGCCAAAATTCAGAACTAGTTACTTAGTGTTTCAGTTTAGAAATACACTGCCTCCAATTTTTTTATTAACAATCCTTTTTTTACTGTGGTAAGAGTTTATTTTTTGAATTTCCTAAATTTACAGAATAATTATTATGCCACCCCTAAATTTTTCCTTATTTCAAGCTTCCTCAACAAATGTAGTCTTTAATTTTAATTCATATATATATTGATGTTTAGGACTGGAATCGATCAATTCCTTTTGAAATACATGCATCCTCTGAAAATTGCTTCGATATTGTCAGTAAGTCACAATATGCTTAAAATGTGGTCTTTGTCATTTTATATTACTAGTGTGGAAATATTCTATTGTTCATTGTTGAATATATCTTCTGTCATCTTCATGACTTATCAGCATAAAGGGAGATGTTGAATTTTGGTATAAAGATTTCACCTAAATGTAACCATTATGATTTTCGTTTCTGTAATAAAGTCGTAATGTTATATTATAATTTTTAAATTGTTTTTTCTGAACATATTATCGAAGTTATCATCATACTCCTTTAGTGAATATGTCACTTGTTGGCCTATTTTGAAACATAATTTTTTAAAATGTTCTAGTAGAAAATAACAACTTCCGACGTTATTTCTTTACGAGAACATGAAACAGCTTAGATCTATATAAATAAGACATCCAAAAATCATCGAACATTGGTACTGATTTATAAGAGCTTCTTGAAAGACTAACCGAGTGTATACTGATTATGATGAAAGTAAACTATAGAATACTATAGCTAAGGTCGTCGTGTTTTATGTGTAAATGATAAGTAGTGGATGGAATCAAGATTCAAAAAGATATATATATATATATATATATATATGGCTTCTTTGCAGAATAACAGTCAGTTAAATTGCATCTAAAATTTACGACGACGTTTAACAAGTTTATATATTGTGATAGAGGTTATGTATAACAAACTATTCACTGTGTGTTGACAGGTTTTTTTCATATTTGCAGCAACACTGAAAGAAAGAGCAGTAATACTGACGGGTGTAAATGTAAGTGTTACATCCGACACGGGTTAGCGGTTACCCACTGAAGACAATATATGATCGGGCAATGTCGTGGATGGGTTGAAGTTAGACATTACGATCGTTGGATCCCGTCTCAGTAGTCTAGAGGTTAAGCATTCACGCACGGGACCGTAGATGCGCACTTCTGAGGAGTCCCATACTAGGACGAAACGGCCGCGTAGTGCTTCTAGATTTTCAATGGTGGTATAAGATTGATCGATTCATTATTTCAATAAAAACTCAATAATCTCTCCAACCCTCTACTGATAATCCCGTTTAACTTCAATAACCGTCAAGTAGAAATTAGAAATATTAAAATAATGCAAAAGGGCTTTCCCAACTACAAAGAAAGGTGAGTAGCTGAAGCTTCCCATATATTACTAAATCCTAGTACCCTCAATTAGAAAGAAAGACTTAACATTCACCCGACTTTGATCATATGTTCGAGGTACCATGTATGATTCCGTTCACAACTCACACCATTGGGACATAAAAATTCAACTCTATCCTGTGATATCACATATGTTACATTTTTCACCCAGTAACATACACATACGCAAATACACAACCATGTTTCTCATAGATCACCTTGATCAGAGTGACATGATATTGACTTGATCAAACTTATTTTTTCGATTGATCGTACTATTTATTTTTGCTTTGCTCCTTTGTACTATTTAAACTTGGGTCAATTTAACTTGTTTATTTATCCTCTGAAGACGCGGCTTATACTGAGTCATGAAACGCCAGAAAATTCGATTTTTATACTCACTTGGGTATCACATGTTAGTCGAAAATGTGTATGAAAACATTTCGTACCATCTAATTATTTGAACTAGTTATTCGGTAGTCCCAACTGAACTAGAGATTTTGTGATTAAACTAGAATGTGTTCTGTTAAATCTAATTTAAGAGTCAAATAAAAAGCAGATACTTAAATAATACACTCTAATGATGCCAACAGCTACCAATATAAATATGATTATTAAACTGATTGTTTTTGGGAAAGCAAATATTGATGATTCAGCTGTAAGAAATATCTAGAACTTCAAATACTGAGTTTCTTGAGTTTAAAATAGAAGCCAGAAATAAGCTTATAGAATAAACAATGTTGATACATTTCTGGCCCTATACCAATGAATGTCAAGGAAAGACTTGTATACATATATAACAGTTTGCATTATGAAATAAACATAGAAAAATTGCAACTATTATCAAGAGCTTTACTTTTTACCCCATTACTATAAATGATGAAACAATAATAAAAGAAGATTAATGAATGACTGATGACTATTTTATTCAAATAAATAATGTCACAATTCCAGTGATAGATAAATTAATAATTAGTTGAACAGCATAATTGTTCTATTTTACTCAATACAATTATTGTGAATGTTCATTATAAGGAAACGAAATAAAGTTCAGATAAACCATCATTATTTCCATCTGGGATATGATTATACAATTGTGTTCTCTTATACGATAGAATAAAGAAGAAATAATAAATTGTTTTCAATATGAATAAGAAATTTATAAATAATTAAATAAAAACAAGAATCTTTCACATTTATTCACTTTCATAACATTTTGTTCAACATCTTTCTGTTAATTAATCAAATCTATTTAATACGAGTTGAATAGTGCTGATTTCGATCTAGTGATTAGAATAAACGAAAACAAGAGGTAGTTTGTTTATTTTGTAGTTAATATCTACTTTTTTGTTGTTGTTGTAAACAATAGCGTCATTATCTCCTCTGTGGAACTTTATAAATTTTAGGTAAACTATTAAGCGATAAATAGGAGAATGAATGTACCAAATATATATATATATATATATATATATATATATATATATATATATATATATATATATATAAAGTATAAATGGTGATGGAAGTGAATTCTTTTTTTTACGTACAACAAACATAATTGAAAGCATAAACAACTGCTTGTTTACATGGAGAAAACAATTACATTTACATTGACAATCTTTAATCAACGTTACAAATGATTAACAATGAACGATAAAAAAACAGAGAGTAAGTTAAATGAAATAAGATAAGAAACAACAAAAAAAGATTACTGCCCTTCTTCTGCTAAGCTTGAGATGAAATATGAATCAAAATTTTCAAGATTCGCTTGTTTGTTGCTCATGATATGGATTTGTATTTTCTGCCTTTTTTGTTTAAAATCAAAAGAATGTTCATTTCTATGAAGCATTACTCGAATATGATTGTATAATAATCAATTATTTTGTCCTATTTTATATACATATATATCCAATTTGATCACAATAACTGCTGAATACCTGAAATTGAATAGACCAGTATACTTAGTGATTAAATGTATCGAAAAATATAAGAACTACAAAATACCATATTATTGAGTAGGTAAACTATCATTCTTCTTGATGAACGATAGTCAACAGTCGACCATATGTTCTCATCTGGAAAGTTCACAAATAATCAGCTTATAAAGTTCGAAGGTGCTGAGTAAAGTATCCATATTTAATGGTTTGCACATCTATCGTAAAACGAAATGATTGCTATATTTTATTTATTCAGGCGTGTATATCTATGAGCGACAAGATATTTATGACGGTATAGTTGTTGAATATTATCACATTTATTATTGAACATTAGGTATCTATTATTTTTTATTAGATGAGCCTTTATATTTTAAATTTATGTACATGATTTTTTACGCTGTCATCGAGATTGTTTCCACCGCGAGGAGCTTTAAGAATAAAGCTAAATATTTGTACTTGGTTTCTTCGTATATCATTACTATTTGCAATAGCTCATTCCGACTAATGATTAAACGTATTTTTAAATGTATAGAATATCTGTGATTTTCGATCTTAATTTAAAGACTGTCTATCGAAATAGATAGTCTTTTTATTTGTATAGGACTTTAGACAATCTTACCAGTTTCAAAAAGTGCTTTAAGTCTCACTCTAATGCAAATTAGTGAAGCAGTTGAGAAATTTTAAATACATTATCATAGTACATGTACAAGGAATGAAAACTCTTCGTTTAGATAATTTGAAAATAGTTGCCATGTTGTTTAACTTAAACGAATGGAGCTCATGATTAAAAAAACTGCTCGATGAGAAACGATAACTATTTAATCAGTCAACGCTTCAGTGTTTAGGTTCTTAGGGTTTGGTTCAGGAAACGTCATGGCTCACAACGTAGAAAATGTGAAAATATCTATGTTGATTCATCGAAATAGTACTTCATTGAGTACGAAAGTATATACATAGATATATGTTGATAATCGCATGATATCGTAAGCTGGCCAAAGTTAAAAATCCAAATATGTGGTCATAAATTTTATTTGATACGTTAACTGGTTTATACAAATAGCCGCATTGTAAGTAAATACACGAAATTAAACTAATCATTGAAAGTAACTTTATTACACATGATCTTTCAATAACAGTTTTGATTAACGTATTCCAAGCAAATTAAAATTAAAAGCAGCTGTCTTCAAATCATTCTTATATCTTATAAATGCATTTTATGTTGGCTACTTTAGTAAAGCGGAACATATAATTGTCAAATCGTCTCCCATTAGACGATGTTCTGTTCGATTTGCTGTTGTTTCATTTCCATTGAATGATAATATGTAACAGACATAAACGTTTAGAGACACGCATAATTACGATTTATTTCGACAAAATATTTAGTCAAAACCGTTGATAGAAAGTCATATTTCACAAGTGCAGCACTCTTAACCCGATGTAGCGGGGTTTATGTAAATATTACTTGTGTAGTTCTATTGTATAATTTCATTAAACCAATAAATATCTGAAGGGTTTTGTGGATATTATAGTAATTTCAATGGTTGAGATCATGAGTTAATTGAAGCTAGACCACCATGGAAAACTTAGCTTCAACTGACTCATGATCTCAGCCATTGAAATTACTATAATATCCACAAAACCCTTCAGATATGAATCAACATATGCTCACTAGTGACTGGCTTCAAGAGGTATTTCCTGGAGTTCTAGTGAGAAGCAGTGATCAGTGGAGTTCAACCAGGTTCTGTTGTGAGATAGTAACTCACTGAAACCATTGTTGGATGTATCGCTCAATTTCGTGGGTTGGTTGAAGCTAACATTAATACCGTTGGATGTCGGCTCATTAGTCTAGTGATTAAGTGCTCATGCGCGAGACTGATAGGTCCTGGATTCGAATCTCGTGAGGCGAGGTCGTGGATGCGCACTGCTGAGGAGTCCCACGGAACGGCCGTCCAGTACTTCTAGGTTTTCCATGATGGTCTAGCTTCAATTGACTCATGATGTCAACCATTGAAAATCAATAAATATCTGTTTGAAAATTCCTATCATGTTTTGATAAATAACTGCCTAATTTAATTATATTTCTACAAGTGTATGATAACAGGTTCCGATCAAGCAATGGAATTCTTGAAAATGTTATCACACTGTAATTTGTGGATATATTGTGTTGTGTGCTATTGATGTTGATAGTATGCATCATCAATCGAAAGTGAAATGCCTGGAGGCAGAAGGTTAAGAAGACCGAAGAAATAAGGACGAGAACAGTGAATGATTGATGTGGAAACGAAAAAACAATGAAGTCTGAGACAATTGTCTGATATTTTGCAAATGAAGTATTTACTGTATGGTTCTCAGATTTTACTAAGATATTTGTAATTTTGTGTTTAAATACATTCGATTGTACCTACTTTTGTTCTCGTTCACTACAATATTAGCTATAATCCAGCAATTTTTAGGAAATGACAAAGGGTAGGTGTATAACACCAATCAGTCATATATCTAGAAGTTATCAGTGATTTAAATATAGCAATACATGACGGTCTGTTAGAATATCGTATCATTCAATGAAAACTAAGAATTTAAAACTAATATCCAAGAAAACCAGCTAACTATAAAATTGGGAGTTAAATAACCCTAAATTGAATTATTCAGCTTAAATATTTAAACTGTGGTATGTATTTGGTTAGGCAGGCAATAAGTATATAGAATTGTTTAAAGAACGTGGATAAAAATGGATTGAAACTAAATAATTACTTACTGTTTCGCTAAGGATTAGTTGTAGCTGGAATGTTTGAAGTAACGTTAGTTCTGAAATGTTTAGTATGTTCATTTGACGAATATGATAATGGTGAGATTGATGATGACTGTAAACCAGCGTATTCATAATTATCTACAATTGTAGTTGTTGTTATAATTTTATCGTTTAAAAGGTCTAGAAAATCTTTGGATTTATTTGAAGTTTTAGCAGCTGATGGAGTTATAGAATGGAATTGTGGTAATTGTAATGTTCTTTGTGGTACTGAAGTGCTAGATTGTGATGAACCGCAGGTAGATGTAATGACTGTAAAGCATAATTCAGGATCTGAGTATAAATATGCATCTGATCCGCTGTCCGAGTGATTTGTATGTTGTGATGAATGATTTGATGACAATCTGTTCACATTTACTGAATTATGACCAAAAAACTCAGTTTTATCATCAGCTGATAAGGTCTGCTATAAAAATTAAGAGTGAAAACGGGGAAAACCTGACTAGCTCACTGAAAAGTTTTGAAGTCAACTACGAATCCATTAATTGAATTGATAAAAAAAAGATCAAAAAGTAATGTATACCTTAATTACTGTTCAAATTTCGTTCACTGTAACATTCATGACTGTTCAATAGGTACTCATTGAACGACTACATTAAACAATCAAACATATATCCATTGAAATGATTTGGTTAAGTAAAACGCCCAAGAAGTTTAACAATACAATGATACTGACTAACAGATTATGAATACGCTTCGTGTTAATAAATCTTAGAGCTCTTTAACTTTTGTACTAAATAATATTATGAGAAGTGAATAAGGATATTGTGTGCATCATTCTCTAAATCTGATGTGATTATCTCCTATAAATTAGGTTTGGGGTAGATTATTTTTATGATAGTTAAAGTGATACTTTTATAATACCTTAAAGAGTAGAAAAGCCGAATTTTTTTTCTTTCGTAGATCGTTTATAGCAAAAAAATAATAAGTAGCTTTTCCAATTTAACACCACCTTAAATAGTGCAAGAAATAAATCAGGTCAAGTACTTACTACATATTTAGCCAGTTTAGTCAGATTAAATTTAAATAGTTTTATTTCGAAGGCTTTCAATGAATAAAGTCATGAGAAATCTTTATGGTCATCAAAATGAAACTTATAATATTTTAGGATTACTTTATCATTCAGAGAATTGGGTTGGGAGCATTTATTCAACTAGAAATTTTCTTTTAAATTGTTGGACAAAGAAAAAAAGTATCTACTGATCTTGTATTTCTTTTTTCCCGAGGAAAGATCTTTGTTAATTTCAAAGAATTCTCATGTAACTTTGTATTAACTGCATTATTAGACCAATAATCATTAGATATATCCATGGGTTATACCTTATTTATGAATTATTCAGATTTAGAACAACACATTTGAGAGAACAGTATTTTTCATCAGGCTTTAATTTAATATCTAGTAATATTGCGATGAGTATCTGAAAAATATTAAATCAATCAGGGTAATTTATGAGTCAATGAGAATAACGAAGTAGATTATACTATAGTTAAACGTAATAAGTAAAAATTACAAATTCATAGTGATATGACAGGTATATTGATTCTGATAGAAATAATAAAATCAATCAATTTTATTAGGAATTTTAGAGCAGCTAATATTACTTTATCTTTTCTTAGTCTACCGGTAATCTTTACTGAAACCAAGGACAAGTAACTTGATTTTGACTTATCAATATATATCTACAAATTCAGCTGCTCCTGCGGAGACAGCTATAATATACGTACCATCAGATAATTTAACCATCGAATGAATGAATATCTTCCTGATTCGGACGAATACTTTACAGTTCCGTTTTATCACACATGGGCGACAAATTTCATATGGTTCATAAAATGAAGCTGTATACTTTCGCAGTTTCACAATGGGCTTCGATCTTATCTTTTAAAAAGAACAGAAGCTATTGGAATCAACCAAGAGCCCTAGCAATGTGCTCTGAGGAAATTTGTAATACCTTTGTCCGATTCTTGACCGAATATGTCTTTACAAATAGATTTACTTACTACCAATGTTATTTCCCATCTCCTTTGCTCGTTTGTTTTTCTTCAACCACTTATAAATATTCTCAACTATTTAATTATTTGCACACATTATATAATTTTAACAATTTTTATTGAATGTCATTTGAATAACTAATTTTTCCGAGTTTTCTGAGTTGATGCATGTACTAAAATATTAATTCAGGCTTTCATTATTTCTATGAGAACTAGTATACCTGTCATATCACTATGATTTTGTAATTTTTACGTTTAACTATAGTATAATCTACTTCGTTATTCTAATTGACTCATAAATTACCCTGATTGATTTAATATTTTTCAGATACTCATCGCAATATTACTAGATATTAGAGCAAAGCCTCATGAGAATCTAAATGAAAACAATATTATTTTTTTATACGTAATATTCTAATTTTCACAGAGGGACTTTTCCATAAGTTGCGATAATAGTGTTATGGAGTTTCTTAGTAATTTTTTTAGAACACTATCAGAAAATTATCATATAACTTACTCCTATATCGGGTCTTCGCCCACCGAAATGCACTCTTAATGATTTTGATGCTCCAATTTGTGGATTTGTCCCTTTATATAATAAATCTTTGTACTTTTCAATCAGAGTATCTGATGGTCGTTGTTGACCATGTTCAGGCGAATGTCTATAAAATTAAGTATGAAACGATAAAGTACAGAATACAATGGTTGAATAGAGGAAGTTTACTGTGCTATTTGTTGAAATACATTCACCTGTGATTTTCAGGTGCTCAAGTCTCCCTACTATGTTAAAGATCGGAAAATAATCATTAAATTTTTAAGTGAAACTTATAAGACATCAAAATACCTAATATTACCCTTTTGTCTATAAGTCGTCCTAATGGTGTCTGAAAAATATGTTGGTGGGATGACTCAAGATGAGAAGTAAGGAAAGATCATATCTAAAAGGCGACCTTGTTGGAAACAAATATTTTGATATGGAATTTCATTAGCGTTTAAAGTTATAAATATAATCCTACTGAAAATTACACGTGCAACTTCTAATCAAGCAGGGCATCATGCGAAGAAGAATTTAAAATAGACTTCATGTTTTAACAGTTTATGATCTTATCTTTCAACAATTTTCCTCATTTTCAGGTGGATATAGAAACAGCAAGATGTTTCTGGTCTTTTGACAGCTGGCTTACTCAATTAATTATTCATTATTACAACACCTTCTTTCACGATTTCATTGTTGACTAGGTATTCAATAAACTTTTCATTCACAAACAAAAAACATTCCAAGTCTTAGTCGACATAAAATTAGCACTTACAAAAAAATATTTCAGTGTGATAAATTATATATAAGACACGCTATCTGTGTATGAAGTCATCACTGTTTAACTTCACGCTGTAAATACTTCAAATAATGTGATATACGCTTCCGAGGAGTGGTAGGAATGAAACTAGCACTAACTGGTCACCCAGTTGGTGCTATTGAAAATTAGAGCAAACCAATCAGTTTTAACAATGTATTCATTAAGTGCTTCAAAATAATAATCTGAAAACACTGTTGAAGGGTAGTTACTTCAAATGTTGATTACTTATAAATGTAATAATCCGAATGATATAAATCCTACTTCTCAGGTTACAGTCCTTAACGGTAGGCCAATTAGAGGTTATCATGCAAAATAAAATTCTAAGATATCTAAAATTCACTGTCAGAAGAATAAGGTCGACTAAAATAAATTGTATATGAGAGTATTTTGGTGAAAAAATTAAGGTCGCAACACAGTACTTAGGATATATGATTAACACGTTTCTTTCACGATACATATCATAATGTCCCCGTAACTTTGGATCCTTTTGTGTAAGTCTAATTACCAATTGCAAGAGAATGATAAAAATATTTAAATAAATTTTTTTGGGATATTTCATCACGAATTGTTGTGTGATGTAAAACAATCACCTACTACCTAAAAACATCAAAACATTTTCAGTACCTGTACGGAATAGATGAAGGTGAGTGTAATTCATGCTTTTTATCATCAGGAAATTTAAAATTCCATTGTCCGCCTTTTTCTTCAATCGTAATTGTTTTTAAAGGGGAAAATACTTTACTCATATTATCCGAGGAACCGGGTTTCGGATGAACACCATTCGTTCTATCATGTCTACTTTCCTGAAATGAAAATTTTGTAATATTTATCTAGAGAAGATGACAAATTATTTTTTAATAGTTCGCATAAACAAAGTGATCTCAGACTGCTTACATTCATTTATATATGATTTAAATGACCACTGAACAACGAGGATAGGTTTTAACTCTTCCAATTTATATTGGTGCATGTTGATAAAGTAATTTTTGTTGGTACAAGTGAATGAAAAAATTTCTTGTATACAAGTAAATGTAGTCTTCATGTACAGTGAATTAATCTGATGATTAGTAACAAGTTCAAGTTCGCTAATGAAATAAACATCTTATTTCATCCAGTTAGCTTCCATTACAGATCTGAACAAAGCGAAAGCAACAATATTTGCAGAATACAGTGAACAGATTGTATTTAAATTGAAGCGATTTGTACATTACTAGAGGCTATAATTGCACACCAAATACCTATTTAGAATATTGGTGTTTAGTTAGAAGTGTAATTATGCTTCAGAAGACTGCCTTTTGATCACTCAGAATAAACCGTTTACCGAGGCAGATGATACCATCTTTGGGTTAAAATAATTTTTGAACTAAGAAGTAGAACTTCCACATAATAAACATGGGAATAACTTAAGTGATTAGAATTTTGTATTATGATTACTGATTACAAATGTGTTTCGAAGACTGGCAGTAACGCTGAGTTTTAGACTTTCTGAAAATTAGTGTGCCACATACCTTAGAAAATAGTACACTAATAATTTCAAATTTTCTATGCACTTTTTCTCTTTCGGACCTGGAGCTTAAATTAAACAACCTTGGTAGTGAACTGAAAAATTACTAATAAGAGGAAATATTATGTAGGCAACACACCTTACTGCTGTCTTTCAAACAAAATTATTAATTTTGGCATCCTAACACTTCCATGTGAGATAAAAACTTCCACCTTCATAAGAGTTTTCATACATTGTTTCAATACATGAAACAAAATTTGACACGACCTACTTTTAAAAATGGCTGGTTTGTCTTGGAATTACAAGAGACACGTTTTTTTCTAGTGTTGATTATTAATAAACATTAATAAAAAATGGGTATCATTCTCTAAAAAATACAACTGTTGTTTGAAAACCCTTCAATTTAGTGTAAATTCCATTAAACAACTATTGCATGTAAGCCAAGGAGTTAGGACACGGCAATAGCAAATATCAACTTACTGCAGAGAAATTGTCTTGATAACTTCTTCCAACTGATGGGTCACATAAACTTGTACTTCGTCTTGGTGGATAATCTGGAACTTTTTGATTTAGTCGGGAATTGTGGCCTGTTCGGCGAATATCATTTAGATCAAGTAACGCTGAAGGATTATTGTCACGTGCATTAGTAGCTCCTGTACTGACAGATAAAAGTCTTACTAATGCTTCTAACTGTAACATCAAATCTGTTCGACTACGCTAAATGTACAATGAGAAGAAAAATGTATTCTGTATAAAATAAGTTAACTTTACCTTTAAAATTATTATTCACATCTACTGTGGTGTATGCTATTTAGGCTAACAGATATCAGTAGTATGTAGCAGCAATCGGGAATGAAATGCCTACCGGCATAAGACTGATTTTAATAAAACAGGAAGGGAAACAGAGAGCGAGCGTAGTAACAACAGAATCGGAAGAACCATAAAGTGTGTAAAGGACAGCTGAAGGAAGATGTGGAAATATTGTATTTGGTGTATGGTTTTGATAGTTTACTTAGACACTGTTTTAGTTTAGATGGTGGTTGGAGGTAGTCAACAGGAAACCCTGGACCCGGGTTTCGTGCTACTTGGCACTCGTCAGCAAGGTGTACCTGTAATCTTGAGGGAACTGGTGCTCCCTGGCGGATTCGATCTCGTGTCACCCAGCTTCACAGTCAGAGACGTTACCACTGAGCTATCCGAGCCGTGACTAACCTCCTGTAGGACTGAGATGTAATCACAATTGATTGATCACTGGGTGGTGATCAATCTCATGCTTGTCTAGTCCTTATTAGTGCAGATCGAATGCTATCGATCATGTTGCAATGTGGCCACCAGTCTAGGTGACTCGACACTGCGCCAGGGAGCACCAGTTCCCTCAAGATTACAGGTACACCTTGCTGACGAGTGCCAAGTAGCACGAAACCCGGGTCCAGGGTTTCCTGTTGACTACCTCCAACCACCATCTAATCTCAATACATAGTGCCCGCAGTGTCGAGTCACCTAGACTGGGGGCCACATTGCAACATGATCGATAGCATTCGATCTGCACTAATAAGGACTAGACAAGCATGAGATTGATCACCACCCAGTGATCAATCAATTGTGACACTGTTTTAGTTTACAGCACCTGAGTTTTCGAGCACAACACTACTAGTGTTCACGGATACATCAAAACAAACTTGAAGAATTTTAAAAGTGAACAACATTTGCATGATACAATTTATCAGATTCATTGTAACGGTTTACACTAACAACCTACACACAATATGATAAAATCCCAATCGCAACTTACATATGTGGGACAATTTTGATAGAATTATATAAAACAGATATGTTTTTACTGTCATGTAAAGGCAATGAAACAAGTTGCCAAATAATGATCGGTGAATTGTATACTGATGGGCATCCTAGTTAAGCATTTGGATGTTACTGTTGTTTTCAGACTTTTGGTGAAAGTTCATTGAAAATCAGTTATAAATATACTTTTGCGTTTCAGAGAGGTAAATTTTATCAACCACTGAACTAGTGGACTATTTCGTCCTGGTTTGGTATTTTCCAGTAACCACGATCCTACCAGGGGAAGGATTTAGGTCTTTTATTCTTCATGGTATTAGGACTTATTTTTCATGAGTTAAAATGATTTTAAAAATTTCTATAATATAAAACGGACCACAAATTCGTAATATTCTTATGCATTTCTGTTTAGAAGCACTTTTTAGATGTGAGTTTCGAATCTTTAGCTCCGAAGAAATTAATTACCTGAAGATTACTCATTCTCGACTCCAGTTCGTCTTTTCTTTGGCGAAGCGCCTGTAGATCAGCAACCAAACGAGGATTTTCTGAATTCACTGAATTGCCAACTCCGGAGGCCAATAAATTATCTGTTTTTAAGTACTGTTTTAAATTTGTCGGACTAAGTGTACCAGCACCTTCGTCACAAACATCTTGTAACTCAGAAGAATCATGTTTGAGGGAACCAGCAGCAGCAATAAATGCTGCTTGCTTTTGTTGTTCAACTCGTAATCGTTCAATCTCTTTTAGTATTTTTCTAATTCAATGGAAGGAAACACAAATGTCACCATGAAACATTTTCCCGAATAAAATTATTGTCAAGGACTAAAGTTTTATATATATATATATATATATATATATATATATATATATATATATATATATATATATATATATATATCATTTGTCTACGATGCAAAAAATATATTGTTTATTTGACTGACAGGTCATAAACTTAACAACTGGTTTCTGCTCTGTTGGAAAAGGTTTAGGCAACTAGGAACAATGTCTTATTCCAAAAACTGTACAAAAATTCTTATCTATCAATCTCTTTACAATTTAACACCAACTGGAGTTCAACCTAAACCACGTGGTAATTTTCAACAAATAAATAGAACTTAAAAAGAAATAATAACCGTGGTTGTAATGTGAAATCTTTATAATTTAATAGGTTCTGTTATTCATACAAGAATTCGATACATTTTAAAATCAAATATCATATACTAAGTTTATCTATATCTTTTAAATATACGACATCACTACAATGATAGAATTTAACATAATGTCGTCATGCTTGGGTAATTTATTAAGTGAAAACCAAATTTAGCACCTTGTAAACTACAGATTATCGAGAAGTGTACTAAATAAAAGTAGTGATGGAATCAATCTGATGTTTAGGAAATCAAATAGATGAAAGTATGTAACGGACCCAAAGTCGTCATTGAAGCGAATAGTGTTAAACACTTCAGTCATTTTTTGACGAAATTACAAGTTGAAGTGTCTGGTTAGTCAACGATGAGTCCTTTTGTGCTTGATCATAAATTTCTTGTTTGTTATCCCTTCAAGAACAAATGAACAAATGTTGTAGTTCAAGGCTGAGCCGATAAACATATTTTAAATCAATGAGTCGCTGAGTTCCATTTCTTGTAAAAGTTATATTCAAACGGATGGATGGATGAGTAAATATCGTAATATATTAGAGCTAATTGCATAATAATTGTTATTAGTTTTATACATAGACACGTCTTGTATTGTTATTCACTCTATAGCTCACCTGTTTTTTTCTTGTAGTTGAGCGATTAATTGTTTTTGAGTTTGTGTTGACTCAACAAAATCACCGAATTTCTGGAACAAAATGAAAACAAAAACAGCCAGCTAATAAATACTTTTTATTGTATGAATCTTATTTATCACTGAGATAAGTCCCTGTATTAAAATATCCAATAAAAATATTTGATATCGATTACACTTTATTTGATCACTTAATTTTCCTAAGCACAATTCAGTTAATGGAAAATTTCTTATTGTCACATTGAACTAACCCATCCTTGTCATCTTTATAAAAATACTTATTGAAGATATAATCTCAAAACTAGATAAGCTCAACGGTAGATGGGCAGTTATGATTACTGCTATTTTAAGTAGTTCATTTCAAAGTATCCAAAGTTCATGGTTAGAAAATTTTCTATTGATTTTAACTTATGAACCTTTTATCTAAATTTAATCCTCAACAAAATATCAAAATATTCATGTTAGTCCCCTAAAGTTAATGTCTTCGTATTCTCAGTGTTCTATTGAAGGAGATTATCCGTATTTTTATCTACTAAAAAATACATGAGTTTCTTGTTTTTCGAACACCTCTTTCAGTTAGAATAATCTTCTATTCTCAGGATCTACAGTTATAATTCCATAATTATTAAATTACATTAAACAAAACATTGAAGTAGGCATATAGGCAAAACAAATACTGATGCAGCTAGTGATGAGCTAGTCTATGTGCATTTAGAAAATTAAATACTCCTTTGGGGAGGGATTTTGACCGTACTCATAATTCCTCATTCTTGAGCTCTCGTGAACACGTACTAAGATGGTTAGGGAAAGAAGTCATGAAATATTTTGAAAATACAATAGTTCCCCATCTGATTGACTATGAAGAGTTTTATACTTTCTCACGTGACAATTCTTTTTATTTATAATTATACATGTTTTATTCTTATTTTATACGATATACTTATTAATAATTTTTGTTATTGTCGTTATCATTATTACCACGACAACTGCGCCACAATAATTCCAATTTCGTATTAATAGTCTTGATCTGTTAATTCAAACTGATCATCAACTTAAAGGCATCCCAATGTTTCTGCATAAATGGAGACTCGAACTTAGTATCGACTTCTTCTAATGTCGACTCCTTATGCATTCAACTACTTAGCCGAAATAGTCACTAACCTATTTAAAATACTTGAAAGTATTGGTAAGGCTTTTTATAATCCTATTTATGAACACTCAGAATTGAATTATGATCAATCTGTGTAGGTATGTTAGTCGTAAGTGGATGTCTCAATACAACCTACATTTGCCTCCCAAAATACAAATACACTTGTAACAAACATATCATGTTTGAGGATGTACTCTGGACGCATATATGACAAAGGAGATTCACTAAAATTGGGTCCTGAATATTGTTAACGGGTTACTACAAACTTTTATGAATAGACTTTTAATCATAATTACTTTTGTGCTAATTTTTCATTTATCTGCATGTGATTGTGCTAATTTATTCCCAATTGTATTTCCATTTAGTAACAGCTCACTCACAGCCTTATGTCAATAATTCAGTTACGTGAATAGCTTTTGGTCACTCGCGAAAAATCATATATCTATCGACCTTCTGTCCATCATTTAATCCACCCGTAAAAGTACTCATCATAATGAAACCTTAAAACTGACTTCTATAACAACGACAACCAATCATTTTTACACATAAAATCACGACTTGGTCTTAATTAAAAATTCAAAGAAGGTTATTTTTATGCCCCATTTTTAAAAGCTTACAAATATAAACAGGGATTTAATTTTATTTCTTTAAAGTGTTTGCTTACATCGAATTCTTGGTTTAACGCTGAAGCAGCAGCTAACTGAGCAGCATATCTAGCAATTAAATTATGTTCTTCATTAGATTTTTGATCAAGATTGTGCGTTTTCAACGAGAAACTAGCTCCCATGCTTGAATTATTCAAATTATCGCTATTAATCACAGATACTATGGGAGTAGATTGTATAGCTGGCTGTCCAGTTGTTGTAGTAGCTAATTGATATTTTTGACTACCACCAATTGAATAAATGTCTGTGGTAGGTTGAGAATAACATGATCTATACAAAAGATAGTTATGCAGAAGAATTTATTTCATTAACATAAAGAATGTAAGTGAATTGTTTATGATCACCAACTAGTCTTGATGAAAATATAACTACATAAAGTTTATTTTCAGCATTACAATTGAACATAGATTATTGTTCATAGGGGATTCGGTATCTTAGGTTAACTAATATAGTTAGCTTTAAAGAAATTTATACTGTTTGAATATAGTTTTATCACGGTTTGGTAGAAGCAAAAAACATGTTCATATAAGACTATGAAAAGGAAAAGTTAAAGATTAATCTTGAAATTCTAACTATTGCAATTACTTCACACAATTACGGAGAATAAAATGGTCAGAACTTAGAAGAGAACGCCGTTAGCGAGTTGACTCACTTAGTGAAACCAAATATAGAGGAGTATCGAAACGGGTAAGGAAGTTAACTAGATTTTGGTGAACTAGAGATGAAAGAAAGGTGTAGTAGCATAAGTTGAAATCATCATTTCTAACTAAAATAGAACCCCTCATAACAGTCTCAGCAAATTCAATGAATTCATCAACGAAAACAGGTAGTACAGAAGGAATGCAGCCCAAGATCACAAAAATGTTGGCGATATCAATGTATGTATTCATTTGTTTTGCATATCACTTAACGTTACACGATATACAAAGTATTTTGAAAACCAAAAACATGTGCAGTTAAATTGACACTAGCACATATTTGTAAACATAGCTGCATTTCCACGTACTTCTGTTATTGAAATGAATCCGACAATAACTTAAGAATATTTAGTGATACTAAATTATCGTCGTAAAATTATTTGACAAGGATTCTAGAATTGCAATTACAATAAAGCTAATATACAAGTTTGGGGGTAAGAGAAGTCGGGAAATAATTTATTTGACTTATGATGCGTGCGCGACTAGAACTAGGTACTTCAGGAATGGAGTTCTGACCAACTGTCATTGTTTTTATGAATGTTCCCAATTGAATTTTTTTTTATAGAACGATAGGTTCTAATCTATTGGTATAAATGCATGGATAGATAGCACGATTATCTGACAGAATTCCTTGGATAAATTGAACACAAAAATAGGTATCTCATTGAAAGATTCTAATGGTTAGAAAAACAGACAACCCAGGTTTCCAAGTATGTCATCAATATTGGGGTCAAATAGTTCCTTTAAACTGACCCTAATATAGGTTACATAATAGTTTCAGTTGTCATATTCCGTTCAAATTTATGTATAGTGTTTTCGTAGAAACTGGGTAAAAATATAGTCTAGAGTGACAACTGTGAAAGGAAATATTATAGTAAAATCTCGTACTTACATAGGTAATGGTTGATGATTTGCTCCTGACAGATTGGGCATGTGTGAACCAGGAGGTACATCAGAATATAAAATGCTGTGTCCTGAAATAAATTAAAGGAAACTGAGACATTATATTAGCACTTATAATGTTTGATTGTGAGTATTCTTTATTTTTATACTTTATCGTTTTGGTCATCAAAATTCCAGTAAGACTGAGTAATCATTATGCTGTAAATGAGTCGAAAATGTTATCTAAAAGAGTGATTTGACTTAAAAGTAGTTAGGTCTGTGAAATTTCACTGCCTAAACCAAAGTAGGTGGAGTGTGTTTCGAACCTGACAATCACTGACTGAACGTCAAGTATTTTAATTAATAAGTAAAATATTCATGACTGGAAATAATCTTAGCCAATATCCTTGAAATAACATCCATATAATTTATTTTAATGAAAGTCTATAGAGCGAAATTTTGGTCAGGAAAACGAAAGTACAATTACATTTTACATACCATTGTGTTCATCAGTTTCATCTAACTGTGGTAATATGTACATAAGTCATAGCAAAAAATATTACATTTTCATTTCACATATATCTCCTTTGGTTATTTTTAGTTAATTTATAATTTATTCTGCAATTAATAGACTCGAAAACAGATAAAGATTAACATATGGTTTGTCATCTCAATTAGTAATAATTTTACAGAGCGTAAATTAAGTAAAAGTGTAGCTTACCGGCTCTTGTATAGTCTGCAGTAATCATGTCTTGTTGTTGCATTACATTTGTATAGCAGGTAACGGCCACTAAATTTCGTGCAACACCACTCGATCCTTGATTCGATTCGTTCAAACTGTTAGGGGAAGGTTGAACTTGTACAGGTTGGGGAGGTACATATGTGAGATTAGGTAAGTTAGTGCTCGGTCGAGTTGCTAAAAATAAAGGATTGAGCTGTTGCAAACGCCGATTTGGCAATGGACTACAAATAGTATTCACTGGTGCCATGAATCTCTGATTTGAAACAGGTTGGCTTGGATGACATACAGCAGAAATACCCGTTGCAATGTCGTTCGATACAGAAGATGGTTGTACAGCTGAAGCAATCCCGTTTACGCAAGAAATAATGCCGGTTGGTACAGAAGGGTCTGAATTCCATTCGAATATAGATCCTACATGAGGACGACGAGCAACATTCATGCCATAAAATTTCTGACGTTCACTGAAGCTACTTGTGAAAGATGTAGTAACAACATTTGATGTTGTGGAGTTAGTAATGGCCCGTCCAAATTGAAACGATTTTCTCAAAGAATGTCCAAACTGACGGGAATGAGATTTCTGAAATAGAATTAGTAGCAAAGTTACAGAATAATGTTGCTAAGACTTCAATGAACTACTACAGTGTTCCATAAATTCCATTTGATTAGTACATGCGATGGGCGAGGATGAACTCCACTCTTGTTGGGAGTTTTGACCTTGGACCTGACAACCGATTAAAACGAAGCGGGAATTCTCATTTACACTATCTTAATGAATGATGGAAGACATGTTTTGTTGTCTGTCATCTTTGCTGACTTATGTGTGAAATGTAAAGTATCCTACGACGAAAATACCGCATGTTAAGTGTAGTGAATTCAGTCATGATGGGAAAAATTATAACCTAGCAACGGTCATACCTCGAATTAATTCTATAATAGAAGTTATTCCAAAATATGTACAGCTCAGTGACTGAATAAACGAAAACATAACCATAATTACTAACTACGATACCTTAGATGACTTGAAAACATGGAGTTTATCCCCAGCCCAAGCGATAAATAAAATACAAGCTAAGCAATCCTTGTATGTGTGGAAAATAACTGGGCGTAATCGTCAGGAGATCTATCTACCTTGAAATGATTTTTATCTATTGATGGGGGGTTGATTGAAGAGCATTAACTAGCGCTTGATTAAAAGAGGTTGGCTCATATGCTTTCTCTATTGCGCGTCGTTTTGCGTCACTCTCTTTTCGCTCCGTTCGCTCTGTTTCTCTGGTTGTCTCTTCTGAGCAACGATTGTAAAAATCATACGAGTCCAAAACTTCATTCTCGCGTTTGACTTATTTAATTCCGTTATTCACCAACGCGATTCAAGTCGATGATTATATACGAGAATAGCCAGGATGTATATTTCGTCAGCAATCATTCGATAACGATCATTTGTCCGATCTAACTTGAGTCAGACATACGGTCACAAAAAGATCACGACCCTATCTAAGCTGGAAAAGCGTTGAAAACGGAAGTACTTGATAGCCGTTTTGTTCCTGTAACGAGGACTCGAACCCCAAACATTTTATTTCGTGCGCCAGCGCTTAAAGTCTAGACCAGTGAGTCAAAACTCAGTGGTGCGCAAGTCTAACTTCAATCAGTTGACGATATGCTAGTGGTTATACGTATCTTATCATACACATTTCAGTAAATCAAAGAAAAAAATAACAGTCATTGTTCTACTATGTTATTTTCACTTGTTAATGAAATCCGTGTTCCTTATCTGTAGGTACACAAATATGATAAACCAGAACGATCTGAATTGTCTGTTGATTCGTTCAAACTCGATAAGTACCAATGTTTATTATTTGAGGTTAAAAGATGCTGTTAATTAGCAAACATTATATTGATGAGTAGATTGCAAGAAACATTCATGATTATTGTTTGTATTGCACGATTTAAAAGTTCTTACTCAGAAGTTATTACATCTCGTATACCATGGTTTTCATTTTCAGATTGACCAATTAAATATAGTTCATTCTGCATACATTGGAAAACCAGGTATAAATTGCTCTTTTAGACAACTTATTGTTGTAGTTTTAAAATAGAATATTCTATTATATTAGCATCCATAATATACCGATATCATACACCAAACGTTCCAATTTCCTAAATTACCTGATAAAGATCTGTATTAGAATATTTTAAGTTTGTTTTTTATTTCTATTCATTCAGAACAATATCTTTCCAGTAAGCATGAGAGTAAAGTGTTGCATACAATAATGATCTGTAATGAACTATATATATTGGAAATAGCTTACTGAAGCAGCACTATATTCTTTCACATCATGTGCATTTGTATGCTGATCTGTGGTTACGCCAATCCAAAAACAATCTTGACACAAATTATAGTGAGGACATCGAGTACATTTGTAGCGTAGACCGCAAATCGGTTCACGTTTGCAACCCTCACATCGTACGTTATGTCGGACTATAATGAAATAGCATTAAAAAAGCTAGTTAAATAAATTTTAGCATTTCCTAATTAGTCAAGTTTTTATAACTAAAATAAGTCATTATGTCATTGAATAAAAATAAAGAGAATTCAGAGAAAACTGTCCTTTTCCACGAAAGCATTTACTTAAGCTGTACATTCGTGTCTATAGCTTTATGGTATGTATATGTTTTTAATTGTCTGAGATTCAAGTTTGAATTTATTCAGTGAAATATCACTAACATTTATAGAATACTGAAAGCACAGTTTATTGGAGTACTAAGTTGAAAACAAAGATGTATATACAGAAAAATACACATTTCATGATATAAAATAACGTATTTGATCAAATGTACTAAAAGCAAATGTTGAATATGTTTGATATTGATAAATAACTTTCACCTTCTGATCGAATAACGGTTGGTACATTTGAATGGATACATTGCGAGGTGAATCTCTAAAAAGTGAATACTATTTTCGTAGTAAATTTGAAACATTGTAAATCACTAAAAACTGGATAGATGTTTCTCTTTATTTAGCAAAAGTTTGTATTAAATGACACCTGTGAATAAAGCAGATCTCAGCAAACATTAAGTTAATTAGTAACTAACAGCTCATTTCTGGTATACCTTGGTTTATCACCACTAGTCATATGGCACACTTTGTATTGTACCTACTATACGGTTCATGAGAAAAACCAAATTATTTTTAATCGGTATGATATCAATTCCTAGACAGACAGTTATGTAATCACTTTTTTCTGTTTCGATGGTTTATTATATATATATATATATATATATATATATATATATATATATATATATATATATATATATATACGTTAAATTACTCTAAATACGATTGTTCAACTTTAAAAAATGATAATGCCAACAAGAACCTTGTGTTCATTGATTTATCCTAATTTTTTCGAATGACACAACAGGTTTATTTCGTTAATTTTCCGGAAAATATTCAATACACCACTTACCACTCGCCACACTGATTAACCGGTGAAAAATCGTAAGCCATACTAATATTTGTGGTCCTTGATCCGATAGCATACGATCCAGAAATTCTTCAAGGACTACGTTTTTAGAACGCTTTTAAAATAAAAATCAAACAGTACACAATCGAATCAACTGGACAAAAACATTTTTAAAATTCATTTTTGTGTGATCCTTAACTAGAAAAACCTTTTACTGAATCTAAAATATATAACGAACTGAGTCGGTATAATAAAAAATATTTTAGGAAGCAAAGAAACTTTAAAGATTTCGGGGAAGAAGCGACCTGTAGTGTCGGCCATTATGCCTACCTTATCCTAGCTTTCGGACAGGCCAATCTATTCATTCTACTTGAGTCACATTTTGACTTTGTTAATTATTCACTTATCAACCTTGACTGTTTTTATGTAAGCGTATGTGTGTACACTTCTTACCCTACTCACCACATGTCTGTAGATTATTCTTGTGTGACTATAAATATTGATTGTCAGGTGATTAAATTGGGTTGGCTTACGAGCCTCCTCCACCGCACGTTGTTTCGCTCTCTCCTCTTCGCTCCCTTCGTTACGTCTCTGAATATCTGTTCCGATCAATGATTATACAAAATATATTTATTGGAAAATCCATTCTCGTATTTGACTTATTTAATTTCGTTATTCACTAACGCGATCTAAGTCGATAATCATACACGAGGATTGACGATATGTATATCTCAATAGCAATCAGAAACAATCTCACTGGAGTCAGATCCCGGGTCATTAAAGACCACACTTTTCCCAGCAAATCAATATTTAAGACATCTAATCACGTTATTGGCAGGTCACTTCTGATGCATTTAAAGAGATACACATAATTACGCCTAATAATTAACTGCTTGTGATAAAACTGAAAGTTTGGACATTCTAGTTGGTTGTTTCATTTCAGTCGTGAGATTTTGTGAATGATTACTATTAAGATTCAGTAGTAAAAATGAATATTTGACCACGAAATCTTCTGACATGATTTAAAGGGAAAATATATTGTTTTCCACTTTTTCTAGGCATGTAATGTGTCTACAAGTAAAAACAATAGGAAAAATACAATTTTTAAAGCTTTGTGTTGTATATAAGAAATATTTACTAAACTCTCTTTACCTTAACTGTTTACTTCTCTAATTGGCTTTTGTTTCACACAACTTTAGTCATTATCATTACTGTTAATCTATTTAAATAATACATGATAAATGTCCCCTTCAGTTTTCATAAATAACTCTGAAATAAGCGTGATCAGCGAACGCATCGCTTATCAACCAGCTGACTTGCAGAATAACGTACATAATATTTCTTTGTTTTCTTTTTTCTAAAGAACGTGCGTCGCTGAACATTATTTATTATCAGTATGGGATTGTGGGGAATTCTGAATTTCACTGAAATCCTGAACCGATCATTGTTAGACCACCATCGAAAACCTGGAAGCACTGAACAGCTATTTCATCCTGTATTTGACTCCTCAGCAGTTTTCATCCACAATCCGACACGCGAGATTCGAACACAGGATCATCGGTCTCGCGTGAACGCTTAACCTCTAAACCACTAACAGTGTTTCATTTAGGGATGTTCTTTGTGGGTGTTATTATCAATTTTGATATACATCATACCATTTATTTTGTCATGTAAATGACATCGATACAATTTACACTCAGTCTAAAACATTGTTAACTTAAACACTAGATTATTTCAATGGTTTCGTAAAGAAACTACCACTTCTTATTTTTTTAGTAACTTAATGGAAGGTTATTTATGATGTATTCAGAAAAATAATTTGTTATATAAAATAAACGAAAATGTGATAAGACGACTGCTTGTATGTTGAAATGTATTTGATTACTTTGCTCAACAGTACATTCTCACAAATTTAAAACACTTTCAGAAGTTATATAGATGTCTTTTTGAAAGCACTTTTGACCGGCTCTGTTGGGAATAAACTTATTATCATGATGTGTAACATAGTGTTTTAAAAATAATCTACCTTAGTAAAGGCTTTTAATATGAGAAGCTTTTAAAAGTGATCTTAAAGAGGAAAGGGTTGGGGAGCCAATCTTCGATTTCTCGAGAAAACGCACTGTGAAGAAAAAGTGAATTACCCTCTCAGGTAAGCCGAGAGTAATTCTTGTTGCTGCAACTACCATATATATATCAATGACCAATCTGAAGTTTGAAAATTCAGAATGAGATAAATGACAGTCAAAATCTTAAAAAATGGTCATCCATAAATCACTTGGTGTAAACAGAATGTTTATTATTCTTGAACTTTCATACCCGTTATTCCATGAAGTAAAACTTGGCTTACTAAAGTATTTATTCAATACATTTAAGCGTATTTGGACTCTATATGGAATATTTATCAAACTCATGACTGACAAGTAATTACTATACAAAAACCTACTGAAGTTTCCCAAAGTAGAACTCATGTGACATACATACTCTTTAACTTTTAGCATTCAGAGAAAAAGTGACTAAATCCCGACAACATAAAGAGAAAAAAAGATGTTTTATTCCTAAATGGAGACAAAACACAAATACACGACCGAACGCATTGCCACTGCAAGGACGAATACAAAATTTTATATAGACTTTTCAAAAATATTGTAATGCATCTATTAATTAACTTGTTAGAACAAATATACAAAGGAGTAATTGAAATATATAGCAGAAATGCCTTCAATCAAGTTAAAATCACTACATCAGATAACTTCGGTGGATAAAAGCCGGTGATTGTATTACCAAACACAAATTCAATATAGGTGGTAGTAGAAACTTCGAAACGGCTCTAGAATATTGACACAGAAACTGTCAAGGAACAATTCAAGATATATCGAAGCCTTAATCATTTGAAAAGATTCTGGTTGCTTATTTATTTAGATTTTTTTCTGTTGCAACAGTGTAGTGAAAAGTTTTCATTCTTCTACACTAAAATGTCTAGATATTTTTTCCAACAATCACAGTTTATTTACTAAAGCTACATCGGCTTGTTGAGAATTTGACGATGCTAATTGTTCATCCATTCACGATGAGAATTTTCCTTAAGCATTATCATTTTGACGATTAGATTGAACTAGATTTCGCTATCATATATATGACGAAAAATCTTTGAATGACATTAAGCACTAAGATAAATATAAATTCAAAAGCTACTCCTACAGCTATTCAAATATCATAAAGAACAATGAATCACTTCATATTTGACTATCCAAGAACGTTACTACAAATTCGACTGAAACATACCCCAGTAAACATTGTTTGTGAAGCTTGTGGCGTGTAGTAGAAATTTGTGCCTTCGAAAACACTTATAGGTAATTTGAGTAAATCTTGAAGATAAGCCTCGAATTTCGAGAAAATTAATGCACCAGAGGGATCAGACAAAAGAGTGAAGTGATCTGAAAAAGAAAGTGAATAACTTGAAATTTCATGTTAAACAGTAACATTTATAGTAATCGGTCAAAACCTTTGACGTAACGATTAATAATTGTAGAAGTTGTAGGTTTTATGGAAGAAATATCCGCAAAAAGATGATAACAACACGTCTCTAATAATTGAATATCATCTGACATTTACTGTTTTATCACCATATGATTCATATGAGATTACAACATAATATGGCGATAATCTATCCTGATATTTTTAATCATTTGATAAATGGCAATGAAACACAGCTCTAAAGGCTTAAAAATTTAAAGGGTAGCGATGACTGTGTTGATAATAACAAACAAGATGTCGAATAGCAGATACGACGACCACGTAAAGTCAATTTTTTATAGAGTCACAAATTAGTCCAACTTTCACAACTTTGATAATATATATATATATATATATATATATATATATCAGCACAGTGCAGAAACCGGAAGGATCATTCAAACAGTTACGGAAATGAAGAGATACAATTTGACTACCATCAGATTAAGCAAAACGCATTCCATCCAGTCTCGATAGAAAATATACTGTTGTACTCTGACCATGAAGAACAAAACGCCCTGCACACACAGGGAGTTGGGTTGACGTTTTCAAACAAGCATGAAAAGCACTTATAAGATGAGAATCTCATGGATCCAGAATCATCAAAGCATTCCTCAAAACAAAGGAGGAGGGGATTACAATGAATGTCGGCGAACGCTACTCTCCCACCAATGACAGCAGTGAAGATGATAAAGATCAGTTTTATGAGAGGCTGCAGTCAATCGTAGAGAACTGCCAATGCAAAGACCTGGCAATTCTGATGATGGTGAACCTGAACATCAATGTCGGTATGGATAACACTGTGTCTGAAGACATCATGGAGCGACATGAACTGGGAGAAAGAGGAGGAGAATGGTGAGAGACTGGCTAAGCTATGTGCTATCAACGACGTTGTTGTAAGTGGCACTATTTTAACTAAATGACACATATACAAGTTAGATGAGTTTCACGGGACCACAATACGTAGAAGCAGGTTCACAAAAGACAAGCGAAAATACGTGGAAGATCTAGCAGTAACAGCAAAAAAAGCTGCATGGGACAACTGTGAGATACAACGAAGAAAGTAGTAGGGAAATATAGTTTATCACTAAACATCAACTTCCTTGACTATGAGAAATCATTTGACAATGTGGATAGGTGGACCTCATGGAATCTTCCTCGACATTAGGGTGTACATGAGAACATCGTTAACATCAAAGGGAATTCATAAGACGGACTACACTGTAAAGCCGTCCATGAAGGGCAGCTCACAGATGCATTTCAAGTGAAGATCGGTGTCACACAAGGCTGCTTACTCTTGCCCTTTCGCTTCATTGTGGTGGTTGACTGGATTATGAAGACCTTCATATCTTAGAGGAAGCACAGAATACAATCGACAGCCTGCATGCAATTAGACGATCTGGACTTCGGGGATGACCCGGTCCTTCTATCCTATATACAATAACAAGTGTAGGTGAAGACAGCCAGTTTGGCGGAAGCCTCTGAAACAATAGGCCTGTATAAACACAATGGCAATACAGAGAGAACCAACGGAATCACACTTGGTGGAGTTGCTCTGGAAGAGGTGGAAGATTTACATACCTGGGCAGAATCATTTAAGAACAAGGAGGACCTGATGCAGATGAGGAGGCACGGATCGGTAAAGCTAGGACAGTATTCCTATAACTGAAAAACATATGCAATACAAACCTATTGTTAGCCAGCACCAAAGTCAGAATGTTCAATATAAGCGTCAAAACAGTTCTGTTGTACAGAGCTGAAACTTTGAGAACTACTACAACGATCATTAAAAAAAGTTCAGGTATTTATAAACAGCTATATATGCAAGATAATTCATATCCGTTGATCAGAAACCGTCAACAACAGTCTACTGTGTCAGCGAAAAAACCAGCTTCCACCTGAACAAGAAATAAAGAAAAAAAGCTGCAGGTAGAAATAATCAAACTAACTCACAAAGCTCTATCATGGGATTCTCAATGCAAAAGGAAAAGAGGTATACCAAAGTACATAGTGCGCCGGGCGTTGGAAACAGAAATCAAAAGAATTAACAGCACTTGACAACACCTGGGAAGGAGGGTCCAAGAGAGATTTTGTTGGAGAATCCTGGACGTCACCCTATGCCTCATGATGGTTGACAGACATAAGTGCTTAAAAAGACATGTGGATTCTTATATATAGCTTTCGTTGCTCTAACATATATGGATAATGAATAGTAAAGTAAAAGAGGCAACCAACCAATGACCTTCCAAATGGGAAACACAGTCTGAAGGTAAGAGAGGCGCCTTTGGCGCAAAAACGAGAAACTCAAATCTCCAAAATAAAATTACGAAAATAAGTCGGTTATCAAGTGAGTTCTGAGGATCTAGCGTCCCCAACACAAGTTGGTGCCAAAAATATCAATGAAATACGAACATATTTTCCAAACTACAAAGAAAGTTGAGTAGCTGAAGTTTTCCGTATATTGCTAAACGCTACTACTTATTATTTTCCAAACATGATTTCCAATTGTCACTTTATATCTATTGAACTTTTACTTAGTTGTCCTTTACTGGTTTTGATATATATATATATATATATATATATATATATATATATATATATATATATATATATATGCCTTGATAAGTATGTGTGATGAGAATGTTGGAAATATATAATATAAAGCTTATTTTTCAGATTACCCTCGTCTTCTCAATACTGTCGAAATTTCTGAAACGGTCTGAGTGTTTTGAATAATTATTCAGTGAATAAAATTTACCGTGAAATATTATTAAAATATTTTCAAAATGGCATTCAAAAGCACTCACATCGAAATTTATCAGCTGGCCTCGCATTAGTTAATGTTGATAAGGTTATTTTTAGTCCAGTTACGCTAAGTCGGCCAGTTGCACATAAGTCCAAAGCATATCCAAGCCAACCAAGTAGGATTTCTGCTGCAATAATTATTGCAGGTCGATTGATTGCGTTACTTGGTGTAGTTTCATCAGTTGTGGTATTCACATTCATATTTGTTGTAGGTATATGTGAATAAATACGTGATAGTAAACGGAATGTACTACCATAATCTAAACTTGCTTGTGGATCATTCAATTGGTGTAAACCGAATTCTCTGAATGTCTCTACCACGCGCCATAAATCCATTATGTTGACTTTTATAATATAAAATGATAAAAAAAGTAAATATAAAATGACTGGTTATTTCTTGAAAATAAGATATATCGCTGAAAAATTTCCATCATATTAAAACACAGATATATGTACGAAAAATACTATTTTCAATAAATGCTCTTTAGTTTCTACAATTATTTATTTGAATTAATAATCCAATAGGTAGAAACGTACATGTGAATTTACGACTGGTTGTAATGTAAAGTAAAATTAAAGATGGATAGTGACTAGCAGTACAATCAAGGACGCGCGTTTCGTCCTATTTGGAACTCGTCAGTTGGATGTAACTGCATCACACAGTTTATGTTTATTACAAGACTCTAACTCAGTACCGTTCGCTTCAAACGCCATCACGTTATCCACTTCGCTACGGAGTTCAGACAATCACTAATCTGTGCAATCGGGTGAAATTCTTATTCATTTTTGTATGGTTTGTTGGGATGTGCCCATTGATGTTTAGGACTGCAATTGATCAGTCTTTTATTGGTATATGTGCATCTTGTGCAGATTGCCTCGATATTGCCTTCAATCACAAGCATTATAGGCAAATATGGAATGGTTCGAGTCCCAAACTGATCAACTCTAGGATGCAGGTGCATCTGGCTGACGAGTCCCAAATAGGACAAATCGCGAGTCCTGGATTTCACTGCTAGCCACCATTCTTGTTTGCTTACAATAATTGTTTTTAGGTTCAAACCCTACCCCACCTACTTTGATATTTGTAGTTTGGAGTGTCTCTGACATTCACCTACAGTGTAACTAAAAAGCAAGTAGGAATACCTGTATCTAGTAGATGAGTTACAAATACATGAATCACCAATGTCCATTATACGAAAACAATAATAGATGGAGAAATGCTAAAGACAGCTTTTAAACATAAACTACTTACAGTTGCAAGTTGCCTTGTAAAATTATTAAGTTACTGGCGGATTAAAGTGGTTTGGACCGAAAGTCAAGATGAGGATTTTCACTATATTAAAATACTGTGAAACTATTAGATCAGATTTAGACGAAAGTTCTTATCCATCATTCTGCAATCGGGTTAAAATATTTTTGTCACAATAATCAAAAGTAGTAGAGGGGTAAAATGAAATAAGGTGATATCAGAAAAATTACGCAGTTCAGTATAATCCTTCTGCTACATCATGTCTATTTTTCGTTCACATGTTCTCAAGGTACTAATACTTTAGTAAAATCGTTAATGTTGGGATGACTTCAATAAGTTTATACGTTAAATGAAATTGTGATATAAACGACTAAAATAAATATGGTTAAAATCGTGAGAGAAATAATAGTGTAATTACAAACTGGAAATCACGTAATGTGAATTAGGTACGAATTAGTAAATAGGGATGGATGCTGAACAAATTTTTCAATGCTCTTGCTAGTGTTGTAATAATAATAATAATAATAATAATAATAATCCTATGTGACTAAGATAAGTTCAAGCTGCGAAAATGCACTGAAGGTTGTATGAACACTAATTGGATTACGTCGCTATATCACCACATGATCATTAACTAATTAGGTCAGAAGTTGATCAAAGTAAAGGAGCGGTTAAACATATTTTTCACAGACGTAAAGCTATTGCTTCAGCCATCTGATGGATTCTTGTCTGACGGATTTCGGCATATAGTTGTTGATACGACATATTACTGTAAATGATTGCACTATGTTGATTTGTACTAAATGAACTAAAATCGAGCTGTTAACAGTTTTAACTGTACCTTCGCTTAACAATACTGGGAGGTGCTCGCGAACACGAATATACAAATTCCTAAAACACCTGTCAATATAAATTGCTCCGCAAGAGCAGTTGAGATGATAGATACAGAAAGAGATGTCTAGTCTAGGTAATTTATCACTCAATCTCGGAGTTGCCATCGAACGTATCGAAAACATTAATTGTAATTCACCTGTATTTTATTTTATATTAGAAATAATCATAAGTTCGTACGTTATAATTTTAAACGATGTACTTTGCCATTAACCCGACCACCTTTAAAATTATTAATTTGGATAAATAATTGTTAAACCCGAAGAGAATTTATTGAGAATTTTCGTTTATATATGCTTCAATAAGATGTAAATATTTTTTGTTTCTATGTACATGTATATGAATACATAAGTGGTTCAGTTTCATTTAATTATTAAACAGAGTAACATTACCATTCGTTATTACTTCATTAATGGGACATATTCAGTGTTATCATGACCATTTTTAGAAATTATTTACTACATAAAAATAAATTAGTCTATGATATTAAACCCAAGTTAAAAATTACGAAATAAAAACCAAACATAAATTTGAAACTGAAACTAATTCAGTTAGAAGACGAAGATTATCAGAACTATGTGATATATTAGCGCAAAACATTTCGAACAATCTGATCGCACATACACTTGTTAAGAACATTTGTATATTAAAATAAAAGGTCAACTAAACTAGAAATGGGGGTAAAAGACGAGGATAATGAAGAAATAATGTGAAAACAATTTGAAACCTCATCCCTTTGGGTAACAAGTTAATATTACCAGGGTTGGTTTAAGGTGAGAACAAACAGTTTTTTAATATTAGTATAGGGGTTGTGGAGATTGTTAAGTTTTGTTTGAGATCATGAACCGATTGATGTTAGACCACCATTGAAAACCTGGAAGCACTGGACGGCCGTTTCGTCCTATTGTGGGACAAGGGTTGTGATGGAGGTGGGATTCGAACCCACACCCTTTCGGACTAATGGGGTTTGAATTTTCGTAGGGCTAAGGCTTCAATAAGCCTTAGTATACACCTTTTTACACTTTGTACAACACCACAAAAGGCGAGTTAAGATCAACCTTATGACCTGTTTCGATTAAATGTTTAGCAATAGAGAATGATGGATGTTTATCCTCTACTCTTATTGAGTCATTTCATTTTATTTGTTTCTGCAACCATATAGGTAGATGCTCACATACCGTAATTTTGAGATAACAATTACTCCTCCCAATATGTGTGTGACCACATGCACATTTAAATTGGTAAACACAGTAGGATGTTACGCAATCGTTTTCTTGTCTTTTAGGTTTTCGATGAAGCATGAACCTTGTTGTTTCTTTGATAACGACCTTCGCTACACAATATGTCTTGTTAATGACTGATTCAAGCCATTGTTTCAAATAAAAGGCTATTTGAATCACCTCTAAATGGTAAGGTGATGTAGACAGGCTTTTTCTCAACCAAAGCTATAGTAGGTCCCACTGTACAATGAACTTTCCATCTATTTGTGAATTTAAGGGGATAGCCTAACATCGAAATTTATCAAAGGGGCTAATTGCTTTATAATTCAATTAGACCGAAGGTCTCAATAAGAAACTTGTGTAAAATCATTTAATCATTTCCATAGTCAGTCAGGTGTTTCAACATTATTCGTTCACTTGTCAACAGACTTTAAAAAACTCAATTTTTTTAAGGATGAATACATCTATTTCAATTTCGCGAAGTTCTTAAATTGTCTTTGAATTCATATTTTGTCAGGGATCTAAGGAAAGACGTATTTAACAAATAGCTTGTTTTAAAAACCAATCAGTAGGCAAGTCATAAGAAACATAACCAACTCAGTTTACATTTATACAGAGAGATGAAATTAATAAAATTAAAAGCACAAGAATTCAAACAATAGTTAGTATCAATGGTAATGATAACCAAATATACAGAATAGATTTTTTTAACAGAGTTGGGTGGTGACTAGCAGTAGTGTCCAGGACGCGTATTTCATCCTATTTGAGACTTGTCAGCTGGATATACATCAACTCTCAGATGCAGGCATATCCAACCGACATGCCCCAAATATGATGAAACATACTTTCTGGGTAACACTACTGGCCACCATCCAACTTTGGTTAGTGAAAGCTTCGAGACAGCCCGTATAAGATCCACATAAGTCGAAAAAGATTTATCGATTGTGGTCTAAAATTTTAGTGGGAAGATTCAAAAAATCATAACTACTAGCGAGGATATATATCTACCTGAACACCATAGTGGATAAATTTGAAAACCATCTCAATTGCGACAATCGTAACTTAAACAGAAACAGGTGAAGTGGGGTTCGAATTGTAGACCTACTCTTTGAAAGTTGGAGGTTATAGCCATCTAGCCTTCACTATGTTTTATGAAACTCAAATTAATTTGAAATGGGACGGAAAATTTAAATGCAATTTTATTTTAGTAGGATCACAATACTACTAGAGAGTACTATTTCGAATATTTATAACCTCTAGTCTTCTCTGAATCCTATTATGAAGTTTGAAGTTTTTCTGTTGATTATACAAGTCCATTTTATATGTTGAAGATCATAATCTAGGATTTCCAATGTAGAACAGATGTATAGTTGTGAACAGAATTTTCAGTGAGTCAGTCAGTGGTCTTGATTGCTTTTAGAGGTATGAGGGCGGTTATCACTTCCCGGTTGCCAACACCGTGGAAGGGTTCTTCTGGAGGTGCCTGAAAAGGAAATTGGATTAGAGGTGGTCTCAGTGACCTGAGAGCGTGACCGCAGTGCCCAAGGGACAACTGCTTGAGGTCGGTCACACACGACCTTTTTATGGGTAGTTTTTATGTTAGCTCTGTACTTGTTGAGACCTTACCGCCGGGATAGGGCGAGGTGTGCATTTTTGGGGTCAACCTTTTCTAACCCCACCCCTCCTTGTGGGAAGGCAGCATCGCTGTCATGCTGGTTGTCTGAAGGAAACACCTTACTGCTGTCGCACCTCTGTACAGTCAACAGTAGGACTTCGCCCTCAGACCTCGAGTTTGCTGCTTTTAGTCTTACCACTCTTCAACCTACTTGTCTGACATGGTACGACCTTGAGGAACGATTGTTCTAGTCAGTATAGCTCGGTTGCTTCATCACGATAGGCAAGCCCGACCACCACGACAAGGTAGCAACAACGGTCGGGGAACAGAATTTTAGTGGTTATTAGAATCATTAGAATGTAAAACTAA